TAATTTGTTTATTATTATTACTAGGCATGTGGCGCATTTTATTTGCATCGTGTTTTTTGTTTTGATTTTAAGCTAGGTTTACCCCTTATGCATCTCTCTCTCTCTCTCTCTCTCTCTCTCTCTCTCTCTCCCTTCTCCCCAATTGCCCTGTCTTTACTCCCGACAGGGATCATCCAGAAAGTAGTCCGCCATTTGCCCTTGCGAAACTACCCAGTTCATCCACTGCAAGCTCTCATAGCGCCTGGTGGGTAGGCAACCTCATGCCTGCAGTGCAAGCGTGTACTGCGGGTTGGCCTACCCTGCGTTTTGCAGGCGCCGAGCTCCTGTAATTTGCCGAACGAATCTGAGAAAAGCGGACGTACTTTCTGGACGATCCCACAACTGATGAACGCTTCACACGCGAAAGATTTTAAATCGCATGAAGAAGCTAGCTCATAGTTTTAACGCCATTCGGCTCATAACAAGATCCAACCGGAGTAAAAGTTCTCGTCGCTATATTTTTTCTATGTTTCAAGGGTGTAAAGAAAAACTGTTCTATTTACTGTCCAGCCTATGAACAGCATTCACGTCACCTTTTCATATGATTATTTTTTATCAGTGCCGCACATGCGGTATGCGGCAGGTACTCGGCTGCATGTACCGGGTGTAACTGAGAATGCGCAACAGTGTTGCGGGTTTGCCTACTCAGTTAGCCCGTAAGGCGCCATGGCCCCTGCAGCCCTGGAGGGTATGCAATTCCGCAACACTGTTGCGCATTCTCAGTTACACCCGGTACTAAACTTACAGCTCACACCCTGTCAATTTAATTTGTTTTAAGTGTTTAGTATTCGTTTTCTTGATAAGGATTGTGGTGTCTTTGTTTGGCTTCGGAACAATTTGTCTCGATGTCTTTCTCCGTGAGTTACTAACCCCGTCTGTGTTTTCTTCTCTCTGCTTGCAGATCTGTCCCCGTTCTATCCGGGAGGGCCGGAACTCTGGCAACATCCGATAGCGTTCTCGGCCGCGGCGGAGCTGCCAGGCCCCGCGCTCCACCACCTGGTGCACCCCGCGCTGCACCCCCAGCTCCCCGTACGTTCCTACCTCTGACTAGCCTCGTGCGGCACCACCAAGGGGCTCGGCCAGGGCCTCGGCGCCGGCCTCGGCCAGGGCGGGGTCGCCACCGGCCTCGGCGCCGGCCTCGGGGGTCCCCACGGGGGCCAGGGCGCCGCCCAGCAGGGCCAGACCCAACACGTTAGTCCGACCTGCTAACAGTATACTCCTCACCGTCAAGCTAGCGGGTCCACTTCCAGGCCGCCCCAAGGGGGCCTCTCGGCGTGAGAAAGAAAGAAAGAAAGAAAGAAAGAAAGAAAGAAAGAAAGAAAGAAAGAAAGAAAGAAAGAAAGAAAGAAAACATTATACCAGCCGGGGTTTAGAGGCGTAAGGTTTTAGTTATCGTGCTCGAAAGACGTGGTTTTCTAGGTATCGCGACCCCGAGTTTCGGAAGATGTGGCACACCCAAACCCTCATGCGTTTTTGTCATATTTCAAAGCAGGCTTTTAAAAACTACAATCCCACGGGGAGCGCTAAAATATGCCTACGTGCATTAAGATTTAATGTGCAGACTAATTTGTCGGCTGAGACCGACTTTTAATGTAGTCTCTGACTCCTTATTGGCAGTCTGTGCCCCACCGCGCGTCAGTCCGTTAACGGGGCCTCACTTTGGCAGCGGAAGTCTCGAGGCGCTGACTAACAGACCAACTTCAAGGCCAGGCTGCGACACAACCCCGGGCGCACCCGCGAGGGATGGGGTTAGATCCGTCACCGTTGTCTCTCCGGGAGTATAAGTGCAACCCCTTCTGCGTCCGCATGCACTTGCAATGCAGAACAAGGATACTTGCACAATCCTCTTTCAAAAAATAAAGTCAGGAAAGTCGTTTGTTTATGTTCGTGTGTCAATGCTGTAATTACTGCACGAATTCTCCCAGACGTTATATGATAAAGCAGGATGGCAGATATTATGTCCAAGAGTCATACATTTTCATTTTCGAAGTGGGGAAAGAGACTTAGATCAGGACAGTGGACGGAACGTCGCTACAGATACTACGCCTGGAACAGCCTATGACGCGACACACTTGCTTTTAGTTGCCTGCATCACCCGCGTAGAACCTATATTTACCTTTATCGAGTTGATCTGCGAACTAAAATACCGCTAATGGCCGCCGTTTTGATCGATTTCTCTCTTTTCTCTCTTTTCTTTTTCCTTTTTTATCTCACCAGGAGGACATGGCCAGGCGGCGTGATCGCTCACATTTTAGGCTCGAGACCCTTTAAATTACCGGAAGTGGACCTTGCTGGAGCTTTTTAGACTGCACCCTCTGTCTCTGAAATATGTCTCTAGAAATGTTTTCGTCTGTTTGAACGGCTGCACGCTTTTCTCTACTTTTGTTCTGTGTGTCTCTCTCTTACTCTCGCTCTCCCTTATCACGTCACTCTACCCTCTTCCCTTGTCTCTTGCCTCTAATATTTATTTTTATTTTAAACTGCATGCCTCTTCTCTCACGTTCACACTTTTAGTCAATCGCCATCAAGTACGAAATCTGATTCTACGTTGCACACGTAACAATTATGTTCAACACATTGCACCTTTCCTGGATAAATTTATTTTCTTAATATGTTGATGAGAAAATACCAAGCAGTTTTCACTGCCTTTTCGATTTGGTGCTCATCAGTGAGCGTGGAATTAAGCGCATCTTGCTTGGCACTACTCACCACATCTCACCTCAGCACGGGTCCCACCCACCCCCCCCACGCCACGCCCTGCCACCTGCCGCCACGTCCCCACACCTCGGCCACCCTGTGGCCACCCGAGGCGTGTCACGCCGAGCTTAAGGACGACCAGGCAGGGACAATTTACAAACTAAGCTTCTGCAAAGCTTAGAAAATGACCCGCTATTTTTTCGCGATTTGTATCAATGAATGAAGGGCTGTAAGAGGGTCCTATCTGATAGCCGTTTCGTACACCTTCAAAAAATATCTATCTATCTATCTATCTATCTATCTATCTATCTATCTATCTATCTATCTATCTATCTATCTATCTATCTAACATTGCACCAACACTCAGACACGGGCACTCCCTTCGACCCCCAGGCAGGAACAGGTCCTGGCGGAGGCCAGGCAACCCTTACCCTAGTCTTCTGTATGATTAGGGCGCTGGGTGAGGGTAGGGGCGGGAAGGGCGCCACTCTCACTCTCTCTGTCTGCCTGTCTCCTCTTACTTATGCTTAAACTATCATCAAAACACCGTTATAATGGAAAGGAGCAACAGTTTAAAACAGATCGATTGCTTCTGAGACCTTAATGGTGACATGACAAGAAGTAAACAGAATTTAGAGTAAATCATTTAAAATAAGCATAATGTACAAAATTTTAACCGCTTTATTTAACCGATAAGAACTATTCGATCAATGTTAGTTATGCATGGCCTTCCCTGTGATGTGCTTGGTTTGTTTCCAAATTTCAGTTTATTTAGTATATATTTCGTAAACTGTTGTTGTGAAGCATACAATTACTGTCAAAAAGTTTATCTAGACCTGATCTTTGGAATCAACCTGTTTGGCTAACTTTTGTCGTGGATCTCACCAATTACTTGAGCATGTTATCAGGGCGTCCGTAAAAGTCATGCCTGCTTCGACAAGCTGTGGCTGTAAAAAGTTTATGGATGTCCTCTTAATATCATGCTCTTTGCGGTGGTTATTTGCATTTTTCACTTCTATTCAAAGTTGCTTTGGGGGGGGGGGAATTTCAACGGAAAGCCTCTAGTTGTGAGCAGAATGCAAATAGCTTATAGCCTGTTTCTGATTGTTCGCACTTCTGATACCCACTGACAGCGCCGGCAAGGCCTGTCTTCTTTTTTTAAACCTCAAAACTTCTTTAGGCCAACGAGGCAGGCAGTCTTGATTAATAACCAATTAGTGACAGCTCCTTAATAAGCTACCGTTCTGACATGTCTGCCCTCGATGGCCTCGAGAACTTTCGAGCACACCCCAGCGCACCCCTTCACTATCACCAAGATTAACCTGAATGCGTTCGGGTCCAAAGGTGGAAGCAGCTGGCAGGAAGTCCCCGTGCGCTGCAGGATCGTTCTCAAATCACCAGCATGTCCAGACTTTAATCTCTCTCATCCATCCCTTTAAAGGCTGTTGCAAAGGGAACCTTTGTTTGGTTTCAGAACGATCCTGCTCGCTCTGGTACTCAGAGTGTGCGACTGACGGGCACCCCGAATTGTGTGTGTAGCTCGGCGTGCTCGTCAGTCGCCGCCAGTACAAGCTGCAACGGGGAGGTCACGAACGCCTCATTCTGACGCGTTCAGGTCAAAGACTTTCGTGACGTCCCCGTGCCTCTGGGGCCGGGCCGCGCGGTGCCGCCGCGACCGCCTCCTCCTGACCGCGCTCTCTCTGACGCAGGACATGAACGGCGTGTGCCCGCAGCAGGCTGAGGCCTGGCGGGTGTTCGGGCACCAGAGCCTGCAGCAGGGCCTGCAGCAGGGCTCGCTGTCGCTCGGGCACGCCCCCGGACACGCGCCCCCGCAGGGCCACATGCCCCACTTCTTGCCGTCCCCGGCGCTCGCCTCGCCCGCGGGCTCCTCGCCCAGCGGGCCCCAGCCCCACGGCGGCCACCCGCACGGCCCCCACAACCCGCAGGGCGCCCTGGGCCCCTCGCAGGGGGGCCCGCCCTGCTCGGCGCTCTTTGTCACCGGCCTCGGCCAGTTCGTGTCTGAGCACGAGCTCAAGGACATTTTCAGCAGGTGAGTGAAGTGAAGCATCAAAAAAGAGGTGGGCAAGGTGGGGCCGTTTGTATCCTTTCAAAAAGACCTTTTAACTTTTCTCAGCACTACTCCTGTTTTCTAGAAATGTTTTGCTCCGATATTCAAATAAACGGGGAACGTATGTTTTAGTAAAGAGGGAGTAAGAGGGGTGGGGTGGGGGAATGGAAATCTCTTTTTTCCCTGGTCGGGTGTTCCCCCGACAGGTAGACAGCACGCGAGCAGCTCGCGCGGACAAGGAGGTAGACCCGGAGGTAGACCAGGGACCTCTCGTGTTGGCACAGAATTTCCCGGCGGGGTCGTTTGTCGCTCTGATGGATACCCTACTCCTCCCACTCCCTTCTTCCTTGCCTCCTCCCCCTCCCCTTCTCCTCCGCGTGCGCTCCAGTGCTAA